GGTTATTTTTTGGGAAGTGAAACTTTATACAATCCCTTAAGTTAAGGTAGCATGGTTTGCGGCAGATTGAAGATGTTGTGGGACATGTAACTTGAGCTAACCTCTCGGGTTTTGACAGAAGGGTTATTTTTTGGGAAGTGAAACTTTATACAATCCCTTAAGTTAAGGTAGCATGGTTTGCGGCAGATTGAAGATGTTGTGGGACATGTAACTTGAGCTAACCTCTCGGGTTTTGAGTGGCAGTGTCGAACGTGTGGCTTCGGGTCTTGTTCTTGTTTATTTGTACACCGAAGAAGGGCCGCCTTAGCCCTCATGTGTATGGGCCTTTGACAATAAGATACCTGATCCAGAGCCCAACCACGTTTCTGAAGTTTATGGATGCAAAAGTATGACCGTGGGAAAGAGCTCCGGTCAAATTTCAAATCAGACCTTAACATATTTTAGTTGACACCTAGTACCAGTTGCACATCTTGCGTCTTAAATTGTAACACTGAATGTTAAAGGATTTTCATTTTTCAAACTGCCTATGATTATTCTTCCTTTCTTCATTGCCATCAACAAAAGATTGCCAACACGATTGGTAATTGTTTTAAAGAACCAACTGCTACAATCCAATCAAGTTTTTTAAGTGACTCAAATGGGACAACAAACAAAAACAATTCATGATAATATTTGCTTGGGAACTGGTTGTACTTGTACCCAATAATTTGGCATTAATTGAGCATCAAAGAATTTTTTGTATCACATGTGATTCCCAACTCAGTTGCCTTAACAATGGATTAAGCAGTTGTTTAAAAATCAAAGTTGTCCACAAATTATTGAATTTGGTGAAGATAATTCTGGGAATCCAGTACCCTTGATCATCAAGAAAAGCAAAGGATGAATTTATATGTGAACAACAATAAACTTAATAAAAAATACTTCTTTTAGGCTAAGTTTCTTCAGATTTCTTTCCATGGAGAGCATACATATTACGTAGGGAACATATTTTGGATTTTAGGTTAAGTAATGTGTTAAGCAAAGGACAAGCCCATGATCACAAAGCTGGCTTGATAATGATCTTCATGAAATTATACGCTTCCGTTTGATTTATTATTTGTTTTTTTTTTTTAAATAGTATTTTAAAAAAAATTATCTTTATGAGAAAAATAATTATTAATATTTTGAGAATTAAATAAAATAGAATTAGATTTTAAAAATATTAAAACAGATATTTAAAATAGCATAGTAAAATAAACAAAATGTCGCATTTTTTTTAAAATAAAGTATCTTGAAAAACAGGAAACAAAAAAATAATTTTTTTAAACGTAAGAGACGCTGAGTTTGCCCTAAACTCGTAAAACCTGTTATATACTTATATAAGGCCCCGTCTCCGCTCATTATATTCTCACAATATCTCTTCACCGCACCACAGAGCTCCTTCTTCAACATCTGTCTCTCGTTTTCTCTTTCTCTTCTATCATCTTAAAGGTATAATCTCTAGTTCTTTTGATTTCTTTAGATTCATTGTGTACTGATTATTTTTATTTTTATTCAACGATTCAATTTTGTTACTTAATTTTCCTTTTCGATGGATATTGTTGATGCGATGTAGTTTTGTATGATCGGAGGTGGAATTTGTTGTATCGGATATAAATCTCTTGTGTTTGGTCTAGAATTTTGTAGATCTGTGAAATATTTGTTTATAAAAAAAATTGTCCAATTTTTTTTAATAGGAATCTGATTGGTTTATATTAATCTTTTTGGAATATTTAAATAATCTGATTTGTCTAATTATGTTCAGATTATTGTGTTTGTTGATTTTTTTTATTAATTCGATTTCTTAATACGGATGGATTTTACTTTTGACAGATTGGTTGACTAGACTAGTTTATTTATGCTGTATTGATATATTGAAATTATTATATTTTTGATTAAGATAAAGCAAATTAGAAACTGTTAATAATTATATTTGTTCCTTGGAAAATTTAATTACTTGATGGAGAGAGGACTGATGCTTATCTCCATATCTGATCTAGTTTGGAGTTGTATTTGATAACTTAGCTATAGCATTTAAGTATTCTTTCATACTTATGACCATTGTCTGGACAGAGTACATAACATGTATTGTTGAACAATAATGTTTGTATTATAAAGTTTGACATCTTGAAGCTTTGTTTAGTATCAAGATTTTAGTTTTTTAAGATTTAAGTCTTCCTTCCGTATGACATGGTAAATTTATGTTTGAAAGATTTTCAGTTTCAAATTGTAAAGAGATTCAGCTTTGTGAACAGCTTTGGAATTCTGTTTTCTTCAGTACCATTTTTTTTTTTAAATAATTATTTTTTTCTGATAAAAGAGGTTTTAATTTCATATATCTTTTACTTATTTATTTGGTTGTTCAGGTTGCTTGGCTATCATGCTTTCCTTGTTGGGAAAGAAGTTTAATCTGTTGTTTTTCNCCTTAAGTTAAGGTAGCATGGTTTGCGGCAGATTGAAGATGTTGTGGGACATGTAACTTGAGCTAACCTCTCGGGTTTTGAGTGGCAGTGTCGAACGTGTGGCTTCGGGTCTTGTTCTTGTTTATTTGTACACCGAAGAAGGGCCGCCTTAGCCCTCATGTGTATGGGCCTTTGACAATAAGATACCTGATCCAGAGCCCAACCACGTTTCTGAAGTTTATGGATGCAAAAGTATGACCGTGGGAAAGAGCTCCGGTAAAATTTCAAATCAGACCTTAACATATTTTAGTTGACACCTAGTACCAGTTGCACATCTTGCGTCTTAAATTGTAACACTGAATGTTAAAGGATTTTCATTTTTCAAACTGCCTATGATTATTCTTCCTTTCTTCATTGCCATCAACAACAGATTGCCAACACGATTGGTAATTGTTTTCAAGAATCAACTGCCACAATCCAATCAAGTTTGTTAGGTGACTGAAATGGGACAACAAACAAAAACAATTCATGATAATATTTGCTTGGGAACTGGTTGTACTTGTACCCAATAATTTGGCATTAATTGAGCATCAAAGAATTTTTTGTATCACATGTGATCCCCAACTCAGTTGCCTTAACAATGGATTAAGCAGTTGTTTAAACATCAAAGTTGTCCACAAATTATTGAATTTGGTGAAGATAATTCTGGGAATCCAGTACCCTTGATCATCAAGAAAAGCAAAGGATGAATTTATATGTGAACATCAATAAACTTAATAAAAAATATTTCTTTTAGGCTAAGTTTCTTCAGATTTCTTTCCATGGAGAGCATACATATTACGTAGGGAACATATTTTGGATTTTAGGTTAAGTAATGTGTTAAGCAAAGGACAAGCCCATGATCACAAAGCTGGCTTGATAATGATCTTCATGAAATTATACGCTTCCGTTTGATTTATTATTTGTTTTTTTTTTTTAAATAGTATTTTAAAAAAAATTATCTTTATGAGAAAAATAATTATTAATATTTTGAGAATTAAATAAAATAGAATTAGATTTTAAAAATATTAAAACAGATATTTAAAATAGCATAGTAAAATAAACAAAATGTCGCATTTTTTTTAAAATAAAGTATCTTGAAAAACAGGAAACAAAAAAATAATTTTTTTAAACGTAAGAGACGCTGAGTTTGCCCTAAACTCGTAAAACCTGTTATATACTTATATAAGGCCCCGTCTCCGCTCATTATATTCTCACAATATCTCTTCACCGCACCACAGAGCCCCTTCTTCAACATCTGTCTCTCGTTTTCTCTTTCTCTTCTATCATCTTAAAGGTATAATCTCTGGTTCTGTTGATTTCTTCAGATTCATTGTGTACTGATTATTTTTATTTTTATTCAACGATTCAATTTTGTTACTTAATTTTCCTTTTCGATCGATATTGTTGATGCGATGTAGTTTCTATGATCGGAGGTGGAATTTGTTGTATCGGATATAAATCTCTTGTGTTTGTTCCAGAATTTTGTAGATCTGTAAAATATTTGTTTATAAAAAAAATTGTCCAATTGTTTTGAATAGGAATCTGATTGGTTTATATTAATCTTTTTGGAATATTTAGATAATCTGATTTGTCTAATTATGTTCGGATTATTGTGTTTGTTGATATTTTTATTAATTCGATTTCTTAATACGGATAGATTTTACTTTTGACAGATTGGTTGACTAGACTAGTTTATTTATGCTGTATTGATATATTGATTAATTGAAATTATTATATTTTTGATTAAGATAAAGCAAATTAGAAACTGTTAATAATTATATTTGTTCCTTGGAGAATTTAATTACTTGATGGAGAGAGGACTGATGCTTATCTCCGTGTCTGATCTAGTTTGGAGTTGTATTTGATAACTTAGCTATAGCATTTAAGTATTCTTTCATACTTATGACCATTGTCAGGACAGAGTACATAACATGTATTGTTGAACAATAATGTTTGTATTATAAAGTTTGACATCTTGAAGCTTTGTTTAGTATCAAGATTTTAGTTTTTTAAGATTTAAGTCTTCATTCCGTATGACAAGGTAAATTTATGTTTGAAAGATATTCAGTTTCAAATTGTAAAGAGATTCAGTTTTGTGAACAGCTTTGTAATTCTGTTTTCTTCAGTACCATTTTTTTTTTTAAATAATTATGTTTTTCTGATAAAAGAGGTTTTAATTTCATATATCTTTTACTTATTTATCTGGTTGTTCAGGTTGCTTGGCTATCATGCTTTCCTTGTTGGGAAAGAAGTTTAATCTGTTGTTTTTCATCTGCTACATGTAAATAATCAATGCCTTATGCAACATCAATTGCATATCTCTTATTATCAAATATTACTAAGTTCCTTAAGAATATTATTAAGTTTATATGGATTCGCCTTTAACATATGTACATGAGGTTAGATATTTGTTAAATTCGTTGATTTTTAAACTCTGGTTGAACATTGATATTTATTTATATGCTTCAGTGTGTGATGCCTAGTACTGTCATTTCAACTTTTATTACTAATGAAAACTTTTTCGTTTTAAGTATCTATATTGTTTGCTTTCAGGAAGTTAGTGGTGTAGTCTGCTGAGTTGCAGCTCTGACAAAGTGGAGGGTGTCAAGTTTGAAACGTCTTTTATGTCTGAACGGGCCTCTCTCTTTTTGACATCAATTGGTTTGCTTGGAGAATACTGTCCTACGTCTAGAAAAAAGAACAGACATACATCACACAAAGTTGGCTGCATGCATGTTGAGTTAGCTGAGGCAAATAATACACACTGTTCTGGTTGCCAGTTTATGCGACCTTTTCCAATTGCTGGGAACTTGTTTGGTAAAGGAGGATTTCACACCAAAAGAGAAGCTGCTGCTGTCTTTTGCCCTTTCTGATTAATTTGATTTGTTGCTCTTAAACAGTTGAATTAAAATGGCTTTGCAAAATATTGGTGCTTCGAACAGTGATGATGCCTTTTATAGGTATAAGATGCCAAAAATGATCACCAAGATTGAAGGAAGAGGCAATGGCATCAAGACCAATGTGGTTAACATGGTTGAGATTGCTAAGGCCTTGGCTAGACCTGCATCTTACACTACCAAGTATTTTGGAAATGAGCTTGGAGCACAGTCCAAATTTGATGAGAAGACTGGAACTTCACTTGTGAATGGGGCCCATGATACTGCAAAGCTTGCTGGGCTTCTTGAGAACTTCATTAAGAAATACGTGCAGTGCTATGGATGTGGTAACCCAGAGACTGATATAGTCATTAGTAAGACACAGATGGTCCAACTGAAATGTGCTGCATGTGGGTTTGTCTCAGATGTTGATATGAGGGATAAGCTTACAACGTTTATTATTAAGAATCCCCCAGAGCAAAAAAAATCATCAAAGGACAAGAAAGCAATGAGGAGAGCTGAGAAGGAACGGCTCAAGGAGGGTGAGGCTGCAGATGAGGAGATGAAGAAGCTTAAAAAAGAAACAGGAAAGAAAAAGGGTTCTGCTGCTTCAAAGGATGTTGCTGCCAAAGGTGCATCAACCAAGAAAAAAGCCCATGCTTCTGATGAGGATCATTCTCCCCCTCGCAGCCAGGCTGATGACAATGAACAAGCAGCTTCGGATGACGACGACGACGACGTTCAGTGGCAAACGGATACTTCATTAGAGGCAGCTAAGCAGCGTATCCAGGAGCAATTGAGTGCTGTTACTGCAGATATGGTTATGCTTTCTACCAGTGAAGAGAAGAAGTCAGTGAAGAAATCTCCGGAGCGTGAGAGAAAGGTACATGAGAATGGAACAAATGGTACTAATACCCATGAAAGGCTTGTCAATGAGATAAAGGAATGCCTGAAGAAGGGCTCTTCTGCTAGCCAACTTAAATCGTTCCTGAGTAGACTCACTGGGACTCCACAAGAAATCATGAATGCCTTGTTTGCAGCTCTCTTTGATGGTGTTAAGAAGGGATTCGCTAAAGAGGTGTTGAAAAAGAACTACCTGGCAGCTGCAACCCAAGAGGAGGGATCCCAGATGATTCTTCTGCACTCTATTGAGTCTTTCTTTGGAAAGGCAAATCCTGAGGTGGTGAAGGAGGTAGCATTGGTTCTCAAAGCGCTGTATGATAACGATGTGCTGGAAGAGGAGTTTATACTAGAGTGGTACCAGCAGGGCCTGAGTGGTGGCAATAAAAACTCTCTGGTTTGGAAGAATTCGAAGCCATTTATTGAGTGGCTTCAGAGTGCCGAGTCCGAATCCGAAGAGGAATGATTATGATAGCAGAATTTAATTGTTCGTGTGTAATTTGCTTTTTCTTTTGCTTTGTCATGGTGTGAAATAAGTTTGCGAACATTGAGCAGACTCCTCTTCCTGCTGGTTAGTGGTTATTTTATATTGCTATATAGCCATTATCATTGTATGTGGTCAAGTTTGTTGAGCTCAGTCGCAGTCTGTTTCTGTTTAAGTGGGATTATCTAATTAGATTGTGTTTGTTATTTTGATTTCCTTTTTTTATTTATTTATTAAAACATGTTAATTTAAATGTTGTATGCGTATTTAATTTTGTGAAGAAACTAAAATGATGTGGTCCTGGGGCTTGAATGGAATTTAATGTTTTATACCTTGACAACAACAACCAGTAATGTATAGGATGTGGCATCTTTATTCCTTTGAAAACCAAGTTTTCGATTGGGCTGTTTCTATACGTTATAGCCGATGTAAAGCAATCTAAAACTTCTCTTTTAGGATTTAGAAGGGAGAGTAGTCTTATTCGTCTTTCAAGTTTATTATCTTTGTGTCGGTAGGTGTTCTTTTCCGTTGGAGGTTTCCTATCTTGTCTTATAGAGGTCTAGGAATGAACAAATATTGTTGTTGGTTGTTCATCGAATTCCCGAGGACAGTAATTTTTTATTTATTTTGTTGTACTAATGGTTTTATTTTGTATTTAATAACAATTCTAAAACTGAATTTTCCTTTTGTAATCAGAGTCGATGCACCCTCGTACCACTTACCAGCATTTACAACAAAAACATAAAAATTAACAAATAGAGAAAGAAAGAAGAAAAGTAGTGTCAGCGTAAAGGACGTGGCGACAGCAAAGCATCAAAATCTGGTTTTTGTTTTCAAACAAAGAGTGGGACCCAAAAAATTTCCCTACACCCAAATATTTTCAAAAGTAACAGCCACACCCAGAATTTTGAAATATGATAATAAGAATTAAGATCCGACTTTGACATAAAATTTTCGGGACAAAAACCGATGTTCTCTCACCTATCCTTTATTCCTTTATTTAATTTTTCCTTCAGTTGTCTCTCCCCTAATCTCTTATGTTTAATCAAAGTTATAAAACTTGAGCACATCACTCAAAAAGCCCGACCACCGTTCTGATTTGTGGATCCCATTTTCTGAAATCTTTGTGTTTCACTAGTGTTGTACTATATCCCTCCCACCACTTTATTGCTCCTTAATTCTAACTAATGAGTTAGCTACATAATAATATTTCGTTTGGTTATTTATGAAAAATACTTCCATCAAAATTTAATATAAAATTGTATGCATAGCTGCATTTCACTATTTTGCCTTACTAATGTTGGTCAAATATTTGTGTTTATTTATCGCTTTTTTTAAATCCTTGGGGGGTTGTTCATGAAATCTTTAAGGGGGTTAATAATATTATTACGAAGTTGGCGTAGATAGTAACAGATTTTCAACAGATGGTCAACAACACATATCCATTCTGATATACCCTGAATCTCAACCACGTACATTGCCCGTGATTATCAATTATTCCTATCTTTCAATTCAAGTACGCTTTCTACTGCTATTTGTTTATTTCTTCGTCACTGTACTCTCTAGTCTCATTTATCACACCTTCATAATTATTTATTTATTTATTTATTATCATTACCCTTTGGACATGTAAAACTCTAGATTAATTATTAAATTATATTTAAAGCATGTATCTTTGAGATTGGGATAAATACAACATTGATAATTTACACTTAAATATTAATATTTTATTAATTACACTTAATCACAGTGACAGATAGGAAGTTTCTTAACTAATTAATCTAAATATTAACAGTGACAGCGAGTGTAACTGACTACTATCATATCATGTATATGCTTACGACTAGTGCTGATGGACCTTGACATGGTAGTTTCATAAAGTTGTCGTGGGTAAAACCGTAATTTATGGAATCAACTCATCCTCATACATACACTCTACTTCTTCAATGCCTGTCCTCGGACCCCAACACGTCTCTCTCTCTCTCTCTTCCCTCCTCATCAGACTCTCACGCACTCTAACTTCGTAACGGACCGTACTATCCAGACTTCCCACCAAGAGAGAGAAAGACACACTCACACACAAACACAATGTCATGCTAAAGACCTAATTAACCATTTAATCACACACGCACTCTCTCTCAACAAAAACATTAACAAATGCCGTCTCAGCAACCGTCCTCTCCCTCCGAGCCTTGCCCTGTCGACCCACGAATCTGGCGCGCTTGTGCCGGCTCCTCCTTTCAAATCCCCACCCTCAACTCTAGGGTTTACTACTTCCCTCAAGGCCACATGGAGCAATCATGTCCTTCCGTCACTGTCCCTCTCTCCAAACCCTTCATTCCTTGCATCGTCTCCCACGTCGAGTTTCTCGCTGATCCTCTCACCGACCAGGTCTTCGCTAAAGTTCTTCTCACACCTGTCAACTCGTTCGATTCTTGGTCTTCTGGAAACTTCTTTGACCACCACCACCAGCAACAGCAGAATGAGAATGCGGTTTTTCCGTTTGCGAAGATTTTAACGCCGTCAGATGCGAATAACGGCGGTGGTTTTTCCGTCCCGAGGTTTTGTGCTGACTCGATCTTCCCGCCACTTAACTACCAAGCGGATCCTCCAGTGCAAACTTTGTCTATTACGGATATTCAAGGAACCGTTTGGGAGTTTCGCCACATTTATCGTGGGACGCCGAGACGGCATTTGTTAACGACAGGATGGAGCAAGTTCGTGAACCGAAAGAAACTAATTGCCGGAGATTCTGTTGTTTTTATGAGAGATACGAGAGGGAAAATGTATGTGGGGATCAGGCGATCGATGAGGTACGGGAACAATGGAGAAGTTGCCAGGTGGCGGGAGCAGATTGGAATGACGCCGGAGGCTGTGGTGGAGGCAGTGGAGAGGGCGGCGCTGGGGTTTCCGTTTGAGGTGGTATATTATCCAAGGGCCGGGTGGGCTGATTTTATAGTGAGGGCCGAAATGGTAGATGTGGCAATGAGGGTGTTTTGGACGGCTGGGTTGAGAGTTAAGATGGTGGTGGAGACTGAGGATTCGTCTAGATTGACGTGGGTTCAGGGCACGGTAATGGCAGTTTCTGTGCTCGATAGTGGCCAGTGGTGTGGCTCACCGTGGCGAATGCTTGAGGTACAAAAGAATGTTTATGGTTTGGAGTATTTGTAGTTGTTTTTATTTGGATTATAGTAATGTGATGTGATGTGATATGAGATATTTTATTAGCTTTATCTTTTTTATGATATGATTATGTAAGTTAGAAGTATTAAATATTTCGATGATGATACCTTGATATTGCGTATACAGTGTTGCTCTGAATAATCACAGCATATAAAGGTTGTTCTATCTTTGGACCAGAAAATATATTTGGAGTTTAGGAAGTCACTGATTTCAGTTGGTCAGATTGCTCGGCAGAATCTGATGTGTCCTACTTACCATTTTGAGTAGAACTTATGACACTTGATGCATACACTTATCTCCCTTGATGTTTTCATGAGTGCATAGATGTTATTTCTTGTCTAAATTGGTGAAATTAATGATCCTTGAAATGAAAAGAGCTTGTTTTCTAATATGCAATTGGCTCTTTTCTAGAAGTGGATTTAATTCTGTGTTCTATATGAGGCTTATATTAAGTCTTTCCTTGGTTTCTTTTAACAATATGTGTACTGCTCTTTCTCTTTCCTCAAAAATAAAATTAATATCCCAGTAGGTTTCAATTTTTTGTCTGAATTTTTGTTGCTATGAGAGAAAAGGGGAATGAATTATTTTTGTTGTTATAAATTATGAGCCAGCCTGTATAGTTTATAATGAGTATTGGTTTGGCAGTATAGATACCTGGTTGGCTGGTCTTGCTTTTTAACCTTTCTTAGTTTCTTTCTTGTTCTTCTGTCGACTGATTGGATTCTGATTTTTGAATGACCTTTTAGAAGGTAATTTTGATTTTAAGTAAGATGCAATGCCTTAAGTGCTTGTTTTGCAAAGCACACCTAGAATAATTTTAGACATTGTGTTCATGCAAAATCGTCAATGGATAATTGATGGTTCTCCTTTTCCATAACATACAAATAGTGGCGTTAATGTTGGAAAAAAAAATATTATTAAATTTACAATGTTTCTTTCTGTTCTATTTAATATTATTAATCTTTAAGGGAAGAAATGCTTTGTGTTGATATGAAGGCATAGGTGTTGACTTAATGTGTGAGTATCATCTGACATGAACTTGCCCTACAAATGTTGTTGATTGTAAGTTATATTATGGTTGATATAAATGTTCTTTTATCTTGCCTAGTAATTTTTGTCCAAATTCTTTGTTTGCAGCTATACTGGCTTGAGATTTTTTTATTAAAGAATCTAGGGAAAATTGGATTCTGTATATCTTGGGTTTCATAGTTGCAGTGGCATATGGGAATATTGATTTCTGAGAGGATTGAGATTTATATCTTTTGTTCTTTAAGCTTTCAAATGTTTTGCCCCATTTTTTTGTCGTAGGTTACGTGGGATGAACCTGAAATTCTGCAGAGCTCAAATAGAGTAAGTCCTTGGCAAATCGAATTTGTTTCGCCCACTCGACCACTTCATACCACAATTCCTCCAGCGAAGAGATCAAAATTTCCTCAGAATTCTGTGTCAGTGACTGATGGAGAGGAAGAAATCTTCTTTCCACTGACAGGATTAACTAATTCAGCAATGGAGCACACAAACCCTTCATTGGTGAATTATAACACTTTTCCTGCTGGCATGCAGGGAGCCAGGCAAAATCCTTTTAGTGTATTTAGTTTATCTAACTTCAGAAGTGAGAATACTCCTCAAGTGTGCAATGATAGTACCTATGGCAACAACTTGATGCCAAAGTTGAAACGCATTTCTACTGAACTGAACATTGGAAGTTCACAGTCTGACAACCTATCACCAGATAGCCACAGTAGTGTGCATTCCTATGGTACTGAACTTCTTGGAGACCAGGGCTGCAACTTGACAAAAGTTGGTATTAGCTCTTTTCAGTTATTTGGTAAGATCATACATATGAATCAGCCTGTTGGAAGTGGTTTGGACGATGTTGCTTGCTTGGAAGATGATGGCAGTAGAGTGCTCAACGTAACTGAAGGTTTGAATGAGCGAATGAATCTTCCCTTGACTTACACAGAACTGCTTAATAGGTCTTTGCCATTTGAGCGACTCAGCAGTTGAAGCTGAAGCTTGCTCTTTGTGAAATAATAATTGTGTCTATGGCATGCAGATAAGTAGCTGTACAGGTATGCTTTTATCTGAATACTGTGTACTACGCTGAACCATGAAACCAATCATCAGATGTTAATTACTGGCTAATGTTTATCAAAATTTGATCATGCTTTTATATGCATAGTGGGTTACTTTCACTTAAGTTATCAGGCATGTTGTCTAATGTGCTTTTCATCTTGCAATTTCTCTACTATTTGAATGTATGTTTGAAACAGACAGTGAATCTGATATGTCTGCTGCAATTACTGGTAAAATTAGTTGGAAGAGATTGAGTTTGTTATGGTTTTTTGTGAAATGATAATTATTAGAACTTCAGATGACATTATTCTCGTGTAGTAGGCTAATATTAATTATATATGAGACTTACTGATGGCATCATATATGGCATTTGGACTAGTGAAAATTTTATGACATTCGGTGATATTACCAACCAGCTGGTGCTTTCCAAAGGTTGGCTATTTGGTAGGAATCCTTAAATTGACTGTTCTATGCATGCCTGCTTGGAGCTGTAGTACATGTTGGGCTTTTATTTATTTTAGTTCATTCAGTTCAAGATCTATTCATCCATGAATGTGAATGAGTGATCATAAACGATGGAGCTGAAAAATTGAAGTGGCTAAGGCGTTGTAGGGTATTTGTTTTCTAAACCCATTTTCTGTTTTAGACATTGAAAAACAGTTGTAAAACATACTAGTAATTATATTTGAAAAGTACAAGCTAGTATTAAAATCCAAAACATTTTAAAGACGTTTCTGGTATCTATGAAAAGGAGGATCTAGGAAACATAGCATTCATTTTCAATAAATTAGTGTTAACTGCAAAAATGGTTTTAATAACGTTGTAGGTATTTAGAAAAAAAGAGATTCTGGACACATTTATAACACTTTTTCTACTTCAAGCACTAATATAAAAGGATTTTCATTGTTGTGCTTCTCTAAATTTCTTTTCAAAATCCTCTTACAAGACATGTACTCAGAACCAACCCTAGATATCTTTTAGCTCTTTTTCACTTGTTTACTGCAATGAGGAGAGTGGTAAAATTTTAACTATTTTCTGAGTGTTTTGACCTTTATGGTTTTGACATTCTCTTTTGATTTCCTTGCAGGTACTTAATCAGTGGAGAAGATGACTTCTTAGACTCTGGCAGATATTAGTTTGTTTAAGCTAGTTTGTTTAAGTTGCCGGGTCAAAAACTTGGAACTGTTTTAGAGTTTAGTTTGTGTAAACTAGTAGTTTGTTTAGTTATATAAAATGTTGGAACCAGATGTTGGTGTGACATAAGCACATTGCTTCAAATTATGTTTAGTTCAATGCTTTGTTTGATTTGATTTGATTCTGGAGTAATCAATTTTGGTTTTTTCACTGATTACTGGCATGAAAAATAATGGTTTAGATGGTCATGAGAAGATAATGATCATTTAGTAACATATGTCTAAGTTTTGGAAGTATTCCTCGATTCTTTATTATAATTATTTTTCAATCAGGCTAGTGTAATACTGTATTTTATGAAAGAATGACCAGTTATGAATATTATGCTTAAAAAAACCAATTAAATTGATGATGGAGATTGGACTGAGATGCATATGGGCAGCTTGTGCTCCAGAGAAATAATAAAACAAAGAATTGCCTCATTCACCATCCCTTAAATAGACTTTGTCATATTTGAGACTCCCAATTCTTATAATATAAAATTTTGATAATAAAGATGGTAATTCACTAATTTGAGTTATAATAAGATACTGTACGAAAACTAAAGAGAGTTGAATGTGTCAACACTCAACAGGAACACTTAAGAATTAAAATTCAGGCCAATTAGTGATTAACCCAGTTATTTGAAATAAAATAAAAGCCAATTTCGGGAATCCAGTCCAGACAAAGGAGGCAACAATTGGGTGAGATTAAAGTAAGCAATAACTTAACAAATTGAGGGAAGTCTTTGACTTTGTGGCGAGGAGTCATCAAATCAATCGATGGCTATCTTTCTCTCGAACTACTCCCTCGCTCCTCCTCTTCGCCTTTCTACTTTCTTCTCTTCTTCAAAACCCTCCAAAACCACCCTAGCTTTTCAATCTCTCCATCACAGACCTCTCTTCAAACCCATTTTAGGGTTTCCTCCTATCAACACCGCCAGGCCTTCCTTTAACGCTTTCTTCACGGTGAGTTTTTCTTTTGCCCTCATATTCTCATATTTAAGCTTTTATTAAATTAGATCATTGAATTCTCTGCATTGGTTTTATGTTAGTTCTTGTATGTGTTCTCATAATTCAGATGATAATATTATATTATTTTATTTTTCAGTATCTTTAAGCTCTACAATTATCGATTGAATTATTTTACCTTGCTTAATTTTGTAAGCTTTGGGCACTTAAAATTTGATAAGAATCAAATGAACCTTTCTTCATAACAATTTAACAGATTTATTAAATTGAAAAAGTGTTATAACTTTTTATGTGCTTTCAAAGAATTCACGAATGTATTCCTCGGCTTAAGATAGCTTTATTTTTCAACCTCAACTTCTATTAATGTAAAGTCTGTACTTTCCAGGTGATAGATAAAATTATTCTATCTGTAATTTCCAACAAAATATTTGAGGTTATGGAACACACCATGTATATATTTTCAGTAACTTTTTTTCTTTCTGTTTTATCCATGAAATTTCTATTGTGCTATTCTGCTTAGATAAATGGCAAGGAGGGTTTTCAGGATGATGTAGAAGTATCTGGAAGTGAAGTGGGTAAGAAACATCTTTCCGATGTGAAGAAGCTTATTGAGGCCTACAAGGAGGCCATTATTGATGGAGATGAGAAGACTATGTCTGTTATTGAAGCTAGAATATGCGTCATAGAAAATGTCAAGAATGAATTGTTACAAAAAGTTTCAGCTTTATCGGCTGAGATAACCTCTGGGAAGGAGAAACACATCCGCCTGCAAGCTGATTTTGATAATTTTAGGAAAAGAATGGAGAAAGAGAGGTCGACGATAAGGTCTGATGCCCAGGGAGAAGTGATTGAGGGCCTTTTGCTAATGGTGGACAGTTTTGAGAGTGCCAAGCAACAAATAAAGCCGGAAACAGAAAAAGAAAAAAAGATAGACTCTAGTTATCAGGGTATATACAAACAATTTGTTGAGATTATGAGGAGCATGCAAGTGGCCGCAGTGCCAACAGTAGGAAAACCTTTTGATCCTTCGGTAAGTGGAACTTCTAGACTACATCAGTGTCTATTTCTATCATTATAATTAGGGGTAGTGAGCATGCTTCTTGTTTGTGTTGGCCAGATGATAAAAACATTTTTCATAAGTATTTAAGATTATGTGGAAAGGAATTTAAATTTCTGCCTTTTTTTTTGTTTAACGTTGTCAAAATTTGTGGAAAGATATGATGCTGAAAACTTGTATATCTGGAAGTGAGGAATTGAAGTTAATATGGGGAGAGTTTTAGATCTTCAATTGGATATTTAAAGAAGGTTAACATTGCCAACTTTCCAAACCTTTGCATCATTGAATTTTTGCTTCTGGGTAAAATAGACTGATACTGCCCATCTTGTGGCATCAGAAATTTTGCTTGCATGCTTTAGTGATATTCCCCTTTGCATTTGCTGGTATTACATTGTCACAAACTCTGAGGTAGAGGTTCTACTTGTTCCCTACAGTGGCATGTTAGTAAGAGATACAATTTATGCACTGACATTGAAGATCTCATTCAATCAAAAAAGAAATTACAATCAATTTATGTAGTATTGGGTTCAATCTGTTCATAAAGTTATTGGTCTTGTAGTCTGCACTTTTAGTCATTAGCTTATGAACTGATATGCTTCTTGTTCTTACCTTTCCATTTCATAATTTCTTCTCTCACACTAGTTTGTTTTGTAATTTAGTTGCATGAAGCAATTGCACGGGAGGAATCTGAGGAGTTCAAGGAAGGGATTGTAATTCAAGAAGTCCGCCGTGGGTTTCTTATTGGGAATCGGCTTCTTAGACCAGCAACAGTTAAAGTTTCTGCAGGGCCTGGTCGTAAGAAAGCCCCTGTGCCTTCTCAGAAATCTGCTGGGCAACATGCAGCGGCCGCTAGTAGAGATGAACAATAGTTTTTGTTTCACAAGATTTAGTTTTCTAAAGGGAGATTGCTTCGCAGTCATGAGTTGAAGCTTTTGTTGTTCAATATTTATTATCTCTTATATATTTTTTGTCTGCTAAGGCGGATGTAATTTCTTGGTCCTTAGCAAAGTTGTATATTGGAGTTTATCTGTGAACATTCACATTAATCCATTTTTTAAATGCTCAAAATTTTAATTGTCTAGAATTATCTTTATCTATATATTCAATTACACCATTTTTATGGATGAAAACACAAAATCATACTTTTTTGATATTTAAATTCATAATTAGATATAGAAGGATGTAACAGAACTTCTAAAAATAAAATTCTAACTTTATTATAATTATAAAAAGACAAAGCCCCTTGTTGTCATCACTACAATATACTTAATTATGTTTGATTCATATATATGATGTGATTGAAAGTGCACAACTAATATTAAGATTAAACATATTAAAAGAAACGATTTTATTATAATTTCAAATGCTACATTCAAATTCATACATGTTGGAAACTATTTATATATATTGTAAAGGGTATATTTATAATTGTTGAGTGTATATGTTTTAGTTAGGCTGTACTATTGAAATACAAGTAATATAGAAAATGAAACATGGTATTAGAGCTCCTGGACGATGCGTAAACCCTTAAACCCTAAACCCATTTGCTTGTTTCTGCTTTTTGGCGACCCATTCCTCTTGTTCTGTTTTCTGGCGACTAGCGATCTCTGGTGACGTCTTTGTCCATGGTTTCTCTCTCTCCGGCGATGTCTGCCCTTAGCTTCGTTGTTTTTGGTGACGTCTGAGTCTGTTCTTCCCTTTGTTTTTGTTTTCCGACGACCAGCGATGTTCAATGACATCTTTGTTCATGGTTTCTCTTTCTCCGGTGACGTCTACCCTTAGCTTCTCTGTTTTCAGCGACGTCTAAGTCTGTTCTTCGTTATTCTTTGTTCCCCTGATCTCTCCGGCAACCTCTGTTATCTCCGGCAACCTTTGCTTCTCTTTTTCCAGCGACTGTTGCTGATTCTGTTCCAGTCTCTCTTCTCTGTTGTTGTTTGGTGCAATGAACATGGAGTTGTTGTGAATCATTTTTTTTTTTTTTTTGCTATCCCTTTGTGTTGGCTTGGAGTTGTTGTGAATCCTGGTTGTTTGAGATTGGGACGCTGTTGTGTTTGCTTGGGTTGTTTGGTGTTGAGAGTGGGATTGTTGAGATTGTTGTGAATCCTGGTTGTTTGGTGTTGAGAGTGTTGTGAATCTGTGGAGTTGTGAGTTATTTACTAGACAGTATGGTAGAGGACGGTAAGAAGATGGTGACTGAAATTGTGACTTCACCAAAATTACTGATCGAAAATTATTGGGAAAAAGGAATTATATTCAATGGAAGCGGATTATCCGACGATATGTGTCCAACATTGATATGGGAGACCATTTAATCGAGGGTCCACCTGAGGAAACAGAAAATGATAATAAAACTAAAAAAAAATGGCTCATGGAAGATGATAAGCTCTTCAATCAGATTCAGAACACTCTCGATTCGTCCGTGGATGATGTGATTGGTCACTGTGATACAGTCAAGGAGTTATAGGAGTATCTAGAGTTCTTGTACGCTGGTAAACAAGACATGTTTCATGCCGATGAATTGTTATTGAAGACCTATCGAGCAAATATGCAAGAGAAGACGTTGCTCGAATATTATACATAGATAAAACAAACCTTTGAAGAAAAAAGGGCTATGTTTCCTGTCCCTACTGATGTGAAGATGATGCAAGCACAAGAAGAACAAGTGGTAGTGCAATGTTTTCTGGCTGGGTTGAGATCAGAATATGAGATAGCTTGTACACAACTTCTTACCGGTGAGACACTTCCCTCTCTTACGGATGTCTTTGCTCGACTTCTCAAAGTTAGTAAGGGAGAAGATTGAGGAGTGTCTAAGGATAAAAAAACCCTTAAGGATCCTAATGTTGATCATGCAGCCCTAGCTAACATGAAGTATGGTGATGGCAAAGGTAACAAAGGGACAAATCGTGATACCGGGAACAATTGTGGTAATGGCCCTCGTACTTGCTTTCACTGTGGTGCTGAGGGTCACATAAAAAAAAATTGTTAGAAGCTCCATGGCAAGCCCCTGAATATGCAAGGCACTCAAAAGTTTGCTCATGTTGCAACTCAAGATGATCTCTTACCCACCCACCCAATCACAGGTTACTATCTCTGCAGCAGAATATGCTCGTCTCACTCAGAATTCTTGCTCCCAGTCATCCATCCCATTGACTACCACTACATTAACCCAGTTAGGTAATCCTACAACCTGTTTGTCCACTTCTAGTAGTAACTGGGTCATTGATTTTGGTGCTACCCACCATATGACACGCGATACAGGTATTCTCTCCTCATTTACACCTTCTCCCAATTTGTCTTGGGTTATCTTAGCTAACAGGTCTACTACACCTATTATTGGATATGGTATTGCCCATCTCAACAAATCTATGTCTCTTTCCTCTGTCTTGTGCCTTCCTCATTTTCCCTTTAATCTTTTATCTGTTAGTAAAATTACTAATGCATTCAATTGTGGTGTTTACTTTTTTCCTACTCATTGTATATTTCAGGATCTTGGGATGAGGCAGATTATTGGCAGGGGCCGTGTATCAGGTGGCCTGTATATGCTCGATGATGGCCTGTATTTGCTTGATGATGTCTCCACTCTTGTCTCTCAACCTATTGTGTGTACCAATGATTCATCTCTACCCATATTACATGATCGCCTTGGTCATCCCCCCCTTCCCATTTTGAAAAGGTTGTGTCCTAGTGTAGGGTCAATGTCACACTTTGAGTGTGAGACGTGTTAGTTTGGAAAACACCATAGAGTATCCTATAGCCCTAGGATAAACAAAAGAGTCATAACCCCTTTTGATGTTATACACTCTGATGTTTGGGGTCCTTGCCCTTTGTTGTCTAAGTTTGGATATCGATACTTTGTTGTTTTGTAGATGATTTTTCACGTGTAACTTGGTTGTATTTTATGAAAAATCGTTCTGAATTATTCTCCATATTTTGTACCTTTTATGCTGAAATACAAAATGAATTTACTTCATCTATTAAAATTCTCAGAAGTGATAATGCCAAAGAATACTTTTCTGCCCCTTTCTCTTCCTTTCTGTCTACTAGATGTATTATTCATCAATCATCATGTGTTTATACACCTCAACAAAATGGAGTTGTTGAACGCAAAAATTGTCATTTATTAGAAGTCGCTCGTACTCTCCTTTTTCACATGAAAGTCTCTACAGAATTTTGGGCAGATGCTATCTCTACAGCATGTCACTTGATCAATTGCATGCCTTCTTCTGTTTTGGGTGGTCAAATCCCATTCTCCATCCATTTTCCATCACAGCCTTTATTCTCTCTTGCTCCTAAAGTGTTTGGGTGCACGTGCTGTGTTCAAGATGTTAGACCTCATGTATCCAAATTTGAACCTAGGTCCCTCAAGTGCATATTCTTGGGTTATTCCCGATATCAGAAGGGTTATCGTTGTTTTTCTCATGTCCTAGGTAAGTACCTTATCTCAACTGATGTTTACTTTTTTGAAACCACTGCATATGTTGAGTCCTCCACTTCATCTACTTCTCTTGAAACACCCCCTGATGATCTTCTTGTTTACAACATGACCCATCATAGTCCTCTACCATCTCGTCCTCCTATCACCCAGGTATACTCTCGCAGGGTTCACCAACACCATGAGACACCTGCAACAACATCTGATTCACTGCCTCTATTGACTACCTCACCTTCGGATCCGATTCCTCCTTCCTCTAACTATGATCATGATCTTTCCATTGCTCTTCGTAAAGGTAAGCGCTCTTGTACCTATCTTATCTCCTCATTTGTTTCCTATCACTCTTTGTCTTCATCTTCCAAGTCTTTTATTATGTCTTTAGACTCCGTGTCTTTTCCCAACTCTGTGTCTGAAGCAATTGCTCATGATGGGTGGAGAAGGGTTATGGAAGAAAAGATGTTGGCTCTAGAACATAATGATACATGGGTTCTAATGGAGTTGCCTGAAAATAAAAAGGCTATTAGGTGCAAATGGGTTTTCACAGTGAATGCTAATCCAGATGGGACTGTGGCTTGATTGAAAGTTCGGTTGGTTGCTAAAGGTTATGCCTATATGTATGATATTGATTATTTTGAGACATTCTCCCCAGTGGCTAAAATGACCTCTGTCCGACTATTCATCTCTCTTGCAGCTTCATATTATTGGCTTCTTCACCAACTTGATGTAAAAAATGCCTTTTTACATGGTGATCTTCTTAAAGAGGTTTACATAGAGCAACCTTCGGGGTTTGTTGCTTAGGAGGAGTCAGGAAAGGTATGCAAACTGAAGAAATCTTTATATGGGTTAAAGCAATCTCCATGGGCGTGGTTTGGGAGGTTTAGTGAAATGGTGACTCAGTTTGGTTTACATATGAGTGCTTATGATCATTCTGTCTTTTATAAGCAATCTAGTTCTGGCATCATTCTTTTGGTTGTTTATGTTGATGACATTGTAATCACTAGCAGTGATGATGTTGGCATTCGAAAAACTTTTTGACTTCCAAATTTCACACAAAAGACTTGGGCACTTTAAGGTATTTTCTGGGAGTCGAGGTTTCTCAGAGTAAGAAAGGGATTTTTCTCTCTCAACGCAAGTATGTGTTAGATGTGTTGACCGAAATAGGTCTAAGTGAGGCTAAGCCTTGTGACACTCCTATGGTTCCTAACGTGAGATTGAATGTTGAGGATGGAGAGATGTTTGGTGATCCAGAGAGATACAGACAGATAGTTGGAAAGTTAAACTACCTTACAGTAACCCGTCTAGATATTGCCTTTTTAGTGAGTGTGGTGAGTCAATTTATGTCATCTCCTAGGACATCTCATTGGGATGCGATCCTCCATATTTTGAAGTATCTAAAAGGAGCCACTGGATGTGGGATTGTTTACAGTGATCATGGTCATAATAAGGTAGAAGGTTTTTCAGATGCAGATTGGGTAGGATCCTTTGTGGATAGACGGTCTGTGACTGGGTTTTGTGTTGGAGGAAATCTTATTTCTTGGAAAAGTAAGAAGCAACTGATTGTAGCTAGGTCAAGCGGAGAGTCTTGAGTATCGGGCTATGTCACAAGTTACGTGTGAGCTCATATGGACAAGACATCTTCTTAGA